CTGTAACACCCGAGATCACCTTAGTTAAAAGTATTCTTTAAAATCCCTTGGCACTAACAAATGAATTAATGATATGTTAATAGGTACAGATTTTGTAGTGAGTTACGTGGTTACACAATTATTCTCATATCTTGTCTCTTCTTTTGGATGTAGTTGAAGAATTCATCTAACCTCTTTGAATCCAGTAGGCCATTCTATCAGCTTTACCCGAATCATCAAACTGTGACCATGTAGGCCCTGGGAAACGAGCTCTCCTACTTTCACGTGAAGTTCAAAACCTTCAGGGAAGTTCAAATAATTTAAAATCTCATATCGTGACACCTCATATCTGTTTTCATCCAGCGAGACATGTTCTCCAGCGCTGTTTTCCAGTTGAGTGTGTTTTAGGAATTGGTGGAGCTGAAGGAAAAGCATTTTTTGAAATGAGAGGAGCAAGGACATTGGAGGCAGACTACTCAGACAGATTTTCTCCCCTTCACTCCCCACCCCCCTATTGCTGAACATGGCCCCTATTTTGATTGTCCCTGAATGGAATTCCCTGACATATCCCAAGAGGAAAAAAACAAAAAGAAACCCCAACCCAAATCCGCAGCCATCCGTCAATTCTGAGGCTTGATAACCCTACATATTACAGGTCTGAAATCTCCACGGGGGTTTCTCCACCGCTGCCTGTGAGGGTTTCATACTGTGGTGGCTTTTGTGTTGCTGTGATGCTGGAAGCTGTGTGTCACCAGTCTTTCAAATGCCAGCAGAGTCACAAAAGTAACAGGTTTCAGCAGCAGCTAAGAGATCAAATGTATCACATTGGGACAATATTCTGCACCGGACTTCTGTAAAGTGTTGAAAGGTAAAGACTTGAAGACGAAGGTGTGCCTAATCAAAGTGACGATATTTTGCAACCTCTCATAGGAATCTGATGGTTAGATATTAAACAAAGAGAGCCAAAGAAGAATCAATGCGTTTAAATTATGGTTCTGGCAAAGAATATTGACAATAACGTGAATCGGCAAAAGAGCAAAGAGATTTGTCTCCGAAGAAATACAGCTAGAATGCTCCTTAGAGCCAGGGATCATGAGATGTTATCTCACTTACTTTGGGCATGTTGTCAGGAGAGACCAGTCCCTGGAGAAGGACAGCATGCTTAGTGAAGGAGCAGGGCAGTGGAAGAGAGGAAGACCTTGAACGAGATGAATTGACACCAGGAGCGGCACCGATGGGCTCAAACGTAAGAACTGTGGTTGGCATGGAACAGCACCGGGCACTGTTTCATTCTGCTCTACATAGGATTGCTGTGAGCTAGCAATAACTCAATGGCACCTACCAACAACAATGGGACTTTCTTGACTGTCAATACCTGACTTTTTCTTTCATGGTGTCACTGTTGGAGTTTGAACCACCACACTTTAGGGTAGTAGGCCAGAACAAACCCAATCATTTCTGCCTCCTGTGCCCCAGAAGTAATTATTTCAAACTATCCCATAAAATACACATTATGATGACTATTTTAGGAATAATCGTGATTTGAAACCCTGACCACTGGTTTTCTTTGGGGCTCTTGGAAAGATTCTTCAAATGCAGAAAAAGATC